CACATGTGATGTGTAGCAAAACACATTTAAAATGTATAAGATCACATGTACTTCAAAATGTAATTCATAATTTATGTAATATTGTAGATAACTTGCATTTTTTTTTCTACCATGATCAATACCATATATGATACTAGGGGTGCTCAAAAATCCGACCAACCCGATCAACCCAACCCAACGTTAAATAACCCAATCTGAAGCAACTCGATGTCTAATCGAGTTGTAAAATTGTCAAACTGTAGGTATTTAGTTGATATTGGGTTACTATTATTTGAACTCAACCCAACCCGATGAACCGATATCCTTTTATTTCTTGGATTTAATATGATTGTTGAATTTCTATTAATATATACATTAGACAATTACACTATCATGTATGTTTTTCATGTACACATATTTTCAATTTATTCATATATATGTTCAGTAACTGTGAACATATATATGTAAATTGAGAAAATTAATTGAATGTAATATACGTAAGAAATATGGATAAGTTATATCAAATGGTTGATGATGAAAAAGAAAATTATAAGTAGAGAAATAACATATTCAAAGTTAGAAGAATATTTTAATATACCAAAGTATCAACCCGACCAACCTGTACGGGTTGGGTTGGATTGGATTGCACTTTGGTTTGGGTCGAGTTGGATTAAGATTTTTCCAAACCGCAAGCATTAGGTTGGGTTGTTCAAATGTCTTCAACTCAATCAACTCAACCCATGAGCACCCCTTTATGATACAATGATGAAATTAACAATTCTTTTTTTAGAAAATAAAGCATCAATTAATTGTGGATATCACATGTGATTTTTGATAGAAATTATTTAAAAAAAAATCTTAAATAGACTACTTCAATAAAATTAATATTTTAAATAAAAAACTAAATTACAATTATTTTAAATGTTGTAAAAAATAATAAATAAATAAAACTAAATCACATATATAGAGGTGGTTTCATTTGCAAACTCACTTATTCGTACAAACTTTACAAACCAATTTTAACCGTAAATCTCATTGATCAATGGCCCAGATCATTTTCATCTATTTATGTTAATAAAACAAAACTTTAAATAAGGTTATTAAATGAAATGACGTCATAAAGGCAAAATGAAAGAAGAAAAAAAAAAAATTCAGACAGTGCTTTTAATTAATCTGATTTATTTCTAAGGTAGAAATGGAGACGGCCTTGAACTGGGACTCGACTCTTGAGAGAAAAAGCATGGTTGCTTTAAACGGTTTTCAAGAGTTCTTGTTCATATTTAATAACCGAAAACGGAAAAACAAACAATGTCAGAAGTTTTGTAATTTAAATTGTTTTTTTTTTAATTTTCAGAGTCTCTTATCTATTAATCATTTGAGAACTTTATATATTCTGATAACCATGAAAACTATTATCTTAAATATACTGTTTCACATGATTTTTTTTCATCTAAGGTTAACATTTAATGTACTGATGAACATATATTTGTTTTACAATGTGTTTGTTTCATATGTATACTGAAAAATAGTTAGTATAGCTTAGCCCCCTCAACTGTTAGTCAAATGCTTCATACAACATAAAAGCAATTTTCTATTAATAAGCAACCTCAAATAATGGTTGGTTCTTAGCCCCCCTCAAATGACTTTGCACAGGCAAAGAAGGATTGAAGATTTAAATTCTTTATTTTAGGCTTATCTATACTATATTATAAAACATCTGACAAAAACTCTTAAAAATTATTTTTTATGCGTAAAAAGTACTGTTTATTAATGCATATTACTTAAAACTCAAGATTGCAAGTAGATTGTGCATAAGTACAACTTATTAAAGCTCTATATCTGAATTCGTGTAACTAACTGCAGATAAACATAATCAAATACAGGATAAACATCTCATTTTAAATATAAAAAATCTAAAATATAATTAAGATAATAATTGAATTTAACAGAATACTTAATTATTATCTTTATAAAATTTATGATATTAAACCAAAAATAAATCATTTTATTATTAAACTTAAATTNCCCATATCTGAATTCGTGTAACTAACTGCAGATAAACACAATCAAATACAGGATAAACATCTCATTTTAAATATAAAAAATCTAAAATATAATTAGTATAATCATTAAATTCTAACAGAATACTTAATTATTATATTTATAAAATTTATATTATTAAACCAAAAATAAATCATTTTATTATTAAACTTAAATTAAATTATAATAAAAAATAAATTAAAGAAATTACATAATAAATGAGAACTTTTAAATAGTTGATTTAATATTAATTTCGTTTATTTTTAAAAAATATATAATATATCATTCAAAAATAAAAAATATTTTATTTTTTCTCAAAATCATATAAAATCGCATTATAACATCGATAGAACCAAAATATAAAACGAAACATTAAAATCAAGATGTATTTCGCTGCATTGCACGAGTACCCTTCTAGTCCTAAATGATTTAGATTTAAATGGTATATTTTGTGAAATAATGGTGATAGGATGTTTTTTTGTCAAAGCAATTTAATTGCAATATCTATTTGACTTGATATTTTAGATCTAAGGGGCCGTTATTAAACATTTATTCAGTAAGTGTTTATCGGGTAATTTTCTTTACTGGATGAACATGGTAAGGGTTTAGAATCGTATCCGGTTAGAGCAGTAAAATGTGGAGAATCTTACTCGGTAAGATTAGTAAAAGAATAAAGAGTCTTACCCAGTAAGTGAGAGTGATGACTCTTACCCGGATAAGCGTTTACCGGGTAAATTGTTGCATACTATATCGTTTTGATGCACTGCAATCTTACTTAGAAAAATAAATTATAGTGTTGATTGCTATTAGTAAGTACTTACCAGGTAAAGATTTGAGTAAATGGCCCCTAAATCTTGATAAATAGTAATCATATTATTTAATGATATTTGATTTTTCTTTTTTGTGCTTACGTTGTAGTTGTAAAGTATATAATATAATTTAAATTGTTTGATCAAGGGTTCAGATACCTTTTAAGTTTCTCAACATAAGTTTTCTTCTCACATAATTCCTCATATATATATATATATATATATATATATATATATATGGGCCTAATCAAATGAGAACTAATTAGTTTGTGATAACCGTGAGGTTTAATCTCAACCACAAATCAATAGATAAATTAGGAAATTTATAATTTTGGTAATTTTTAATTAAAATTTTAATGCGAGGACATTTTAGGTATTTTTTCTTCTCTCTCCTCTCTTCTCTCTCCGTCTCCCGGCCTCCTGCCAACGTCCTTCGATGATACCACAGTGGTATCACAATGTATCTTATTTGTGATTGGGTATCACACTGAGGTCGTTTGTGTGGTCGATCGGATATGTAACACAGTGGTATCACAATGCATCTTATATGTGCTTGAGTATCACACTGTGATATCACCGGAGGAAGATGGTCGGAGGCCGGAAGATGGGGACGGAGAGAGAAGAGAAGAGATGAGAGAAAATACCTAAAATGTCATTGTATTAAAATTTTAATTAAAAATTACCAAAATTATAAATTTCCTAATTTATCTATTGATTTGTGGTTGAGATTGGATCTCATGTTTACCACAAACTACTCAGTTCTCCTTTGAATGGACCCCTATATATATATATATATATATATATATATCTATACTATCTTATTAAACAAATTTAGCAATAGTCTTAAAGTCTTAAAATTCTAAATGACCAAAATACCCTTTATACTCACTTTTTCATTTTTTCACTTTTTCATTTTTTCATTTTTTCATTTTTTCATTTTTTCACCCCCTTCTCTCTTCACATACACTCACCCTCTCACAACCGATTTTTTTAAAATTATAATTTTAAATTTACACTTTATACCCCTATAATTAATTAATTAATTTACTTTATGTCATTTACTTTTAAATGTTTCATTTTAAACATTTATCAAATTAACATACATAAACGTATATCAATTAAAACATGTTTAAAAAATACATTTTTATTTTAACAAGTTACACTATTATAATCGTCTCGTTAATACCTTCGAAATGAGTCCAATATTGAATAGTTTTTGACTTAATTATATTTATATATTATATATACTGTGAAAAWATATTTTTAATATTTACGATTTATATTTTTATAGTTATTTATTTATATATATGTTATATATTTTGGGGTTAGGCTATCCAAATTGCACTGTATAATATGTTTTGAATTAATATGTTCTTGGGTTTTTTTGAAATATATATACATGTATTAATTCAACCTTAATCTGAGTTTTTGGACAAGAAAGAGGGTAAACAATTGAAATTTCATTCTAAGACCCATCTTTTTTTTGTCTTTTCATGGCTTATAATCTATCAAATTTATAGTTTTTTTTATTGGTTTTGAGTGTTTATCTTAAAACTCAAGTTTCTTGATTCTTTGCTCTTGGTGTAAATCGAACACATTTGTTGAGTCGTTTAAATATGTTGGATTTTAAATATATTGGATTTTAAACTATCATACAATTTTTTTCATCGATAGTCTGTAATTGGAACCATAACTCTTATTTATTCAAATTGTATTAATATGTAAAGACCAAGTGTAACCTATATCATCGTTAAATCTTATCTTATAAAAYCAGTGGAACTTCAAAATCGTTAAAATTCATGGCTCCGGCCGCATTGCGCGGGTACATAACTAGTATGTATATATATATATATATATATATATATATATATATATATTATCATTATTGCAATTAGGGAAAAGATCGTGTGAGAAGAAAATTATGTTGAGAAACGTAAGAAAAAATTTCAACACTTGATGACTTTTAATCTTATGTTCACTCTTGAATTGCGTTTTAAAAAAGAACTGATCTGATGCACCTCATTAGCGTCGATATCAATTAGAATTAATCTAATGTGTAGATTTTTTTTTACGCTTCTCACATAACTTCTTTTTTCATCAAAACTCAATTTATTACGATTAAACATCGAAACCCGTACTACAATCCAAGTTAGGCCTATAAGCCTACTTTTAGGCCCCTCTTGTGTTATTAATGGTATCATGTTTGGTTGGATTTTTTATTTCTAATAAAAATAATTATAATTTCTTTATAATAAAGAAATAGAAAAATAATAATTTCTTTAAAATAAAATAATTAAAATCTAAGATCTTAAAAGCAAATTCCTTTCAAATTCAAATTAATTGTTTATTTTTAAATATTTTAACATTAATTATTATTAAAATATTTTGTAATTTATCATATGTATATACTTTCCTTTAAAGAACTTTATATGTGATCATAATAATTCAAATTTATTGGTAGGAATGAATTAAAATTTATTTTTCATATTAAATTTTAGAAAATTCTCAGAATATTTGAGAGTTTTTACCTGTTTTTTTTTCTCTCTATTTTAAAGAATCTGTTAAAAAAATTGGAATTAGTCACATTCCAATTAGGCATAGGATTGGAGCGGTGACCGCAATCCCTATCCCCAATCCTCAATCTACGTTCTCATTCCCGTCTCCATCTGTGTCGGGGAATATGATCACATCATCATCCTCATCTTTGACTCATCCCCGTCCCCAACGGGGATTCAGGAATTCTCTTTCCCGTTTATTGGAGATATTTTAAATCAAATGTGTTAAACACGACACTCGATCTAAAATGGTCCATGCTGAGATCTCATATATTTCCACGATTTTGCTTTTATGGACAATCAAATATTTATATGTTTATGTAATTGTTTGATCAAACATTTTCGAATCTCCATGTTTTTTAGGTAAAAAATAAAACGAGTTAGAAAAAAATGTATATGAGAAGAATTGTCAGAATACTGTTTCGAATTTAAAAGATCCTAAATCAAACGTTGTATAAATAATATATTTTATAATAAATATGCAATATATTTAATATACGGGGATGTGACGGGACGGGGATCATGTTATGTGGCCCCGTCTCCATCCCCGGGTTTTTTACTTTCGAGGATCCCCTCCACATCCCCAGTCTTGTGGGGAATCCCCATGCCCGTCAAGGCGGGTACATCGGGTTCTCTAACGGGGTGGTTCTCATTCCCATATCTAATTCCAATTTAACGTTTGGTTTATAGGAAAGTCCGTAATTGTAATTCAGGGGTTCTCGTACAAACATGAGATTTAGAAATCCATGAGGGTCATTGGTATTTCACGGTATTTCATAGGATTTGTTTGTAATAATGTTTTAAAAGTCAAACATGATAACATTTCATTCCAATTCTTCAAATTCAAATTCTTTTGATAGATTTCATTTCATCCAAAAACATTTTGCAAACAAACGTCGCCTTAGGATTATATTTCACTAAACAGAATCATTACTATTGATTTGTCCATCGATGAATACTGTTAACTTATTATGTACAAACGAGTACGAAAAATTGACTAATCCGTTTGGCTTGTGTTCTCCCACACGACTCTCCTAAGTCGATATCGATTAATCAACACCAACCACATTATGGCTTTTAATGCTCAACCGAATTCAACCCTTGTTACTTTATAAATCCCTTTCTCATCCCCTTCAATTTCCAAATCCAAAAATGAAAACGACCGAAAACCCGGTTGCAATGGCGACAGTGGCACCGATGGCACCGATGACGACCCAACGACCTGTTCGTACCGACCTCGAGTCTTCCATTTTTAAGCCCTGTAAGTTGTTCCTTCATGCATAATCGATGAATCAATCAATGATTCTTATGGGCTAATTGTGTGTTCTTTAAAAGACATGGCTAGAGCTATGGTTGCACCAGACATGGAACATCCTGACGGCACACCGGAACACAAGGCTCGAGGCATGAGCGTACTCCAACAGCACGTTGCCTTTTTTGATCAAGACAACAATGGCATCGTTTATCCATGGGAGACGTATACAGGTGAAGATAGATACAAATCCTCTGTCTCAAATTCTCACGTCCCATTTCAATCCACCAATCACGTTAATACACATCAACAAAGAAAGAACGTGAACTTTTGAATAAATTTAAAACATAAATAAATTGGATGCATCTTAATTTCATTGGTGGGACAAGGATGAGACGTTGGATTTTGAGACAGCAGATATTTATCCCGTGAAGACAAACACCGAACAAGTTTTCGCTTTCAATAATGGTCGACTTGGTTTACATATGTAATGATCCTTTCAGGGCTTCGAGCAATCGGGTTCAACGTACTTTTTTCATTGCTTGCGGGGCTATTCTTCAATTTAATATTTACTTGGCCCACACACCCGGTAAGTTGAAGTTTAGTCCATGTGTTTTTCCAAGAGTTCGTGATACGTTTGGTACAGACATAACTGAACATGCGAGAATGAGGTAGAGACGGGTTAAAAAATTCCAGAAGGTTTTTAAGGTTTTAATTTGACAAGGCTAGTTAGGTAATTTATCAATCTTGTTCCATCTCCCTGATTTTTGTTCCACCAAGTTTGTTGAGACTGACAATAATACAGTTTTGTCTCAATCCTCTCTTTGTCATGTCATGTCCTAATCTAACGCTGCATCAAACGTGCGACAAGTTTTTGCATTGAACTGTCTCATCTGTGCCGCGTACCAAACGCACCCAAAAGCTGCCTTTTTGATTATTTTTTTGTAGGGTTATATGCCTTCCTTGCTGCTACCAATTCACATAGCCAACATACATAAAGGCAAACATCCAAGTGATTCAGGGACATATGATACAGAAGGAAGGTAGATTTGTTTTATTAACGTGATTTCAGTATATAAACTTAAATGAGATTTTAATTAAACCCAACGACAAACATGTGAAGGAACCACAAGGGGCTCGTGCATTTGCTCAAATGATGTTTACAAGTAGAAATTTTTGGGGTATGAATGACGTACACCCTAAATTCTAACGGGTGCTCAAGGACATTGAAAAATACAAAAATACATCAACCAAAAAACATAAAAGTCTTCAAATAAGTCTATTATTGAATTCACCCGACCCGACAGTACCTGTTTAGGGAACGTCCAGTGCCAAAATCACTTAATGGGTAAGTCAGAAATATGACCATAAATTGGTTTTTATCTTTTAGTTAAATTCATGACCTCTCGACCTTTTTAATACTAATGAGGTCAAAATTTTAATTAAAATCTTATTTAAGGTTATATACCTAAAAATCCCTCAACCGAATTAAACCAAAAAAGTCTTGAAATCGATCAAAAAAAGCTTCAAAAGTTCCTCGAAAGCAAACAAAAAACTGGAAAGAAAAAACCCTTGAAAACGGTGGCATTCAGTTAAAAGTGCATCGAACGTATGCTTATCTTGTGAAAGATCTATCTCATTTGGAAAAATGTATTTTATTCCTAAATCGACACAATTGACTTTTCTCTCGTCAAACCGTATTTGATCTTTCCCTCGTCAAACCACGATTTAGGGCCTTTGATTCGCTTTACCAGTGCACCCGATCAGCGAAAAATCTGGGTCTACTACTGATGGAATACATGACCTTCTAAGGACTATGGAGCCATTTTTTCTTTGTCATGGATTTATAAAAATCTCATTTAATGTTACATATTTAAATGACCCCTTCTTTAGAGTAAATTATGTTTTCCGTCCCGTGGTTGGATAAAAGTTACGAATTTCGTCTATATGGTTTCAAAATTTCGATTTTCACCCCTATGCATATGCAGTGTTCAAAAAGGCGTGTCATGCACGATATGATGCAAGACAAGATTTCGCTGTTACGAAATGGCCATCGCGTTTCTATAAGACGTAGCTCACGCCTTTGGCATCTTGAAGCGCACCATGGCACGTCGCAGTGCACTGTGATTTTTAGCCAAAAAATAATAATTTATTTATTTATTTTTTATCTTTTGTGTTTTTACATTTTTAACTCTAAATTTTACACTTTTACAGCTCTAGTTAATACATCACTTACAGTTTCATAAATTCAAAAACGTTACAGACTCACGGTTAAAATGAAGTTATAAAATTACCTTTCTAAATTAAATTTCAAATTTTTAATCAAAACCATATTTTTATAATGATTGTTTATATGATTATTCTTCATATAATATGAATGTACATTTTTGTAATATCATTATCTGATTAGATTTTGTATATATATATATATATATATATATATATAATTCTATATATGACATACAGATTTGTCGTCTTATGTCACCCTTTTTTTAAACATTGTGTCCTCAACATGGCGTGTAAGGCTTGAGACTTGACCTTAGGCATGGCAACGGGGCGGGGATGGGGCGGGTTTTGTAATCCCCGTCCCCGGCCCCGGCCCCGGTCCCCGGCGGGTACGGGGATTATCATCCCGTCCTCGGTCAAATTCTAGCAATCCCCGGTCAAAACCCGGTAAACCCGGTCAATCCCCGGTCAAAACCCGGTAAAAAGTATGCTTTAGTTTGATTATGTCGGGGATCCCCGACCCCGGTTTGAGTAACATCCCCCGTCCCCGACCCCGTCCCCGGTTTGAGTCTACCGGGGATCCCCAGCCCCGTCCCCGGGACCCGTTTTAGCGGGGAATCCCCGCCCCCGTTCGGGTCGGGTGAACCGGGTTCCCCACCGGGTCGGGGCAAATCACCATCCCTACTTGACCTCGTCGCCTCGCCTTTTTGAACCTTATCCCCATGATTTGCAATCCATTTCTATTTTAGTCCCTAATACCAACACTAACTTTTAAGCATGAAGAACTAAAATAAAAATGAATTGTAAAGCACGGTGACGAAATAAGCAATAAATTTTAAATCATAAGGACGAAAAAGGTAATAAAATATACACCATAGGAATGAAAATTGTAATTTCAAAACCATAAGGACCGAAATAGAAATTTTCAACAAACAACAAGGACTAAATATGTAACTTACTCCCTTCTTTATGTTGTACAAAAATAACATCTAAACCTTCATAACTGATTTCATCTACAGGTATATGCCAGTTAACTTTGAGAGCATGTTTAGCAAATATGGCAAAACAGCACCCGATAAGCTAACCTTCAAAGAGTTGTGGAACATGACCGAAGGAAATCGTGTTTCATTTGACATCATCGGATGGTTTGTGCTTTCAGTAAATACAAATACATTCATTTCATGCACATTCAAATCGAGTGCCAATTAATTCAATATGTTTAATGTCGAACAGGGTAATGACTAAGTTCGAATGGGGGGCTGTATACATTATTGCTAAAGATGAAGACGGGTACCTGTCAAAAGATGCCATGAGAGGTGTCTTTGATGGCAGTCTATTCGAACGCCTTGCTGAAAAGAATGCAGCCAAAAAGAGGTCTTAAAATCTGAAGGTATATATATGGAGTTGATAGTTAAAGACCTTAATCCCAAGTAAATAAACATGTGTAAAAAGTACAAATGTTATGGTATGCAATACGCACAACGGCACAAGAAACATTTGTACAAGTAGTAAACTTATCTATACTGGATTATAAAGCATTTGACAAATATTTTTAAAAACCATTTTTTATACATGAAGTATTGTTTATTAATGCATATTACTTAAAATTCGATGTTACAAGTAAATTGTGCGTAACTACAACTTATTAAACCTCCATTTTTTGAATTCGTATAACTAACTGCAAATATACATCATCAACTACATGATATGCATCTTATGTAAAATATAAAATATATAATTAGAATAATTATTGACTTATACTTAAAACAAAATACTTAATTATTATTCTTATAAAAAGTTTGTTATTAAACCAAAAATAAATTACTTTGTTATTAAACCTAAATTAAAATTTGTGATAAAAATTTTGAATCAAAAAAATTACATAAAAAACGAGAGTTTTTAAAAAGTTAATTTGATATTAATATCGATATTTTTTTTTTCAAATTTTTATGAATAAAAACATTATCGCTTTCTCAAAATCACATAAAACTATATTATATCGACAGAGACAAAAAAATAAATCAAAACATTCTATCGATGTATCTAGCTGCATTGCACAAGTGTCGTTTTAACATCCAATAGAATAATAGACATAGGCTAAACTTGACTGAATAAATAACCTTGAATAATAATGAACATTTATTCATCAAATGAGTATTTGTCACAACCTTTTTTGTGAATATTTATCACATTATTCATAATGAATACTTCCAAATTCACAAGATATTTATGGTTAAAATCAGATTTGAACGAATACACACATATCTAATAATATCAAATTTGAATAAAGAATTTGATATAATCAATATATATATATTTATATATTAAAGAAGAAATCATGAGTGTTTGAGGTGGTCTCTCCTAAAACCTAGAATCTCATTTTTCTTTTTTCTCCTTCATTCTCTCAATACCCATTATTATATTTTTTGTCAATTTATGTTTTTTTGTTAAATGTTTGCATTCAACTTCAAACCATTCATCTCCTTCTATATTAATTCTAATGGCATAACTCCAAACCATTCATCTTTTCCCATCAATTATTTATTTATATATATAGAGAGAGAGAGGAGCGATCAAATGAAAATCACTCCAATTTGTAAAACCATAAAAACTACTCTCATCCGTCGTAATCTTATGAAATTTTTTCATGAAATTGTTTCATATAATACTTTTTTTGATGAAGTTGTTTCATATATAGTTATGAAATTGTTTCATATACTACTTAATGAAATTTTAATGAAACAGTTTCATATATTTCTTTAAAATTAAAATAATGAAGATGATAATATCCATGATTAACACCCTCCACAATAAAAATGGTTAATCAACCTCTCATAATTACAAAAAAAATGAACAAAATGAAAAATTATGATTGGTTGAATAAGGTTTTCACGGTTTTTACAAATTGAGTGGTTTTTATTTGAACGCTTCCATATATATATAAACAACCACTATTTATTCATCTTCATCTCTTACACCCTCTCAAATTCTCTATCCTATATATCTCTAGATTTATTTATTTTTTCTCTTTGGTTTTTCTTCTATTTTACTATTTATAATCTTCATAGTTTTTTTTCCACTTCTCCCATAATTTTATGTATGTTTGTATCGTTATTTATATTGCATTATCGTTTTTATGCATTATGTCATGAACATTTAAAGAAGTCTTCAAGTTCAATATTTGATTTTGATTGCATTATAATTTTATTTATGTTTGTATCGTGATTTTTGTTTGCATTATAACTCTTATGTATTAGGTGAAGATTTAAAATGTTCAAGTTCACTATGTAATTTTTACTTATGTTGAACGTTTTTTGGTTTGCAGGTTTTCGAGTTTTTTAACGTTTATATATCAAGTCTTGAAAATTTGAAGTTTTCAAGTTTGGGTTGTGGGAATTTATGATTATGATCTAAGGTAAGAATTTTATGCAAGTTTGTTTTGTAATTTATAGTGTATTATAATGTTATGTATGTTTGTATCAAGATTTTGATTGGATTATATTTTTAAGTATGTTCTTATCGTAAGTTTAGTTGTATTATAATTTTATGTGTGTTCATGTTGTGATTTTGATTGCATTATAATTTTATCTATTGGGTTATAAAGATTTGAAGCGTTAAGTTTGGTATGTATTTTTTTACATATCGTATAATTAGTCTATTCACTAGTGTGTTTTTAAAGTCAAGGTATGTGTTGAGGATGAAAAATGGTACATGTACATCATCCTTTGAAGGAGACATCTTTACGTAGAGTATTTTTTATTCTTATGTTTGTGTCAGATTTCTTAATATTTCCGTCGTTATTATTACACATTTTATTAAGTTTTACAACTTTATTACTAAACAAATCTCTCTCTCAATATATATATATATATATATGTGTGTGTGTGTGTGTGTGTGTGTGCGATTTATTTGAATACGATTTGTTGATGATTCTATTAACAATTAATATATATTTATATAGACAATCCTCAGATTATTAATTAAAGTACTCATATTACCACGCAACGTGCG